TCTGGGATATCCACAATACCTCCCCCATAATCTGCTGTGCCTCCCGAATAATCCCCACATCCTCCTCCTCAGGGGTGCTGGGGACAACCGCGAGCTCCTTTGTGATGGGGATGCGATCTTGACTTGTAGTGGTGACGCCATGAAGTCGTAGTAGTTCTTGAATATATCCATGTTGTCCCACCAGGATCTCTTCTGAATCCTCAGACTCACGCTGCAACTCCATTCCAAGGAACCTGACTGAGCTACCAGGCCCCAGAAACGTCAGCTCAGACGTCTCCCAAACATCTTTGACCGCCGTTCCAAGCTCAGTGACGATTTCTCGTGGGCCACAAATCATAAAGTCGTCCACGTACACCACCACTATAGCAGCCACTGCACCACTGGTATCGAGAACTGACCACCAGGATGTGACTGCTTTGCCCTGCTTCCACTTCAAACCACGAGGTGTCTTCAGCTCCTGCAACGTGTCATCTCGGAAACTTCCCCGCAACATGGGAGCCTCTCTGAGGCCGTAAAGGGCTTTCAGCAAGCCCCACAATTCCATTTTCACAGAGATCCCCAAAGCTTCTAAAAGCCTCGGGGGTTGAGCGATCACAACCGGGTTCTGAGGAACGCAGCCACCACGTCTAAGATGGCTATGCACCATCGATTGCGGCTTGACATTGCTAACCCCGCGCGGACAGCTTCGGCGGGAGCAGTTTCTGCGTAAACCTGCGACCCGTCATTCACTGCGAAGTTTCCGCATATAACAAGTCTTGCTTTTCGTTTGTACCACGTGTCTGGTCGCTGTGGGTCCGCGTTGTCATTCGGCTTTACTGTAAAAACAAACTTCGTCGGTAGACGCTGCACTCCAGGCGTACTCAACCATCTCTTACGAGCCTCTGAGCCAGGATGTAACTTCTCAATAGCACCTTCGATGCCCGCAACCTCTTTGAGAATAGCTGGACGCCACTGCTCCAAACATGCAAACACTTCATCTGGGTGTACTGTACGCGTCACATCCAAAGGGCTCGTCAAACCAGCCAGTATCTGCTCAATATTCCTGGTGTAGCTGACTTCGACCTTTTGCAGTCGCGGGCCACCAAAGTCATCCTCAACGGCATCCGCTATCTTGACTGTGCCAGGTTCTAAGTCCAAATACAACGACCAGTCTGAGTCCTTATTGCATTCCTTCGCCTGACTGTCCTCTGTAGTAACAGCTGCGACTTGTGGAGATCCTTCCAATCCACCACCGCACCCATGATACTCAGGAAGCTGTGACAACGGAACGGGAAAACCATGATCGTGCAACATCTCCAAGTCACACTGATCCAACTTCCCCAGACAATTGGGTGTATAGGCAATGATCACTGTCCTCGTTCCAGTCCATCTGCACACCTCATGGTTTCGCTGTGGTCCAAACGAGAAACCTTCGCCTGGTAGAAGACCACGCAGCTGGCCATACACCACCTGCTTTCCCACATCACGCTGCTCGATTGGTCACCTGACTTCAACTCTATCCACAACTCACCCCCACTGTCTGGGCAAGCAACCGGCACCACATAGTTCTTTGTATGGTAGTCATTGTTGAAGTCCTTGTGCATCGCTCTAGTTGTATTGTGCGAAACCAGTATAGACGTGAACGCAGCTTCTGGATCCACTTCCACGACGATCCTCGTCAGAACCTTGGTCAGCGCGGGGAATTCTTTTAAGCCAGTAAGCCAGCCCACTGTACCTCCATGTCGGTAAACTCCAAACTTCCTTGTGCCAAAGAAACCCTCATCCGCAAGCTCAGTCACTAACGCCAATGCCCGACTCATGGTCCAATCCTCGAGAACTTGCTCCGCTCCCTTTGTTGCCTGAGTGACCACATCCACGGGGTCAACGCGAGCCTCCCTCATCTCAATCCTTTCTGGATCCATTTTTTCGGGGACTCTCCTCCTGGGCTTTGGATTCTCCTCGCCACGAAATTCCTCTTGCGGTGCTCCAGGATCGACCAAATTTGGACGAACATGCATAGTGTGCAGAAACTTCTCGGGCTCCTCCTCGGTAGCTGGAATGTACACAACGTGACCGTGGTGGACAATTGAGCTGAGTCCCACATATCGACCCATCCAGTTCTCGCCTAAGTGGGCCCGCTTTATCGAACGCCTTTTTCCGTAGATGCACAACCGCACCAAACGGAGCCGCCAAATGAGTTTTCCACCCAAGCACTTTCGCCCTCTGCTCTGCTGCAGCGGCTGCTGCTGCCGTTGGCCACAGTCGTAGTGGAAGCTTGGCTGACTGGAGAAGCGTCCGAGTTCTATCCTTGACCCATCGAACTGTAGCCTCCGCCCTTCCATTTCCTTGTGGTACACTTGGTTCTGACCAGGTTCCCAACACTCCAAGATCACGAAGCCAGTTGCGGAAGCCATGACTAAAGAACTCACCCTTATCTGCATGGAAGCGGTATATAGGTAGTCCGCGTGATTGCAGGTACAACACCACATCCTGTAATGCCCGCTTCACGGTGACACCCTTGTTGTTCGGTAGGGCCGTGGCAAAAGTCAAGTAGGTCATCTCTGGAGGAACACAGTCTCCATTCTGCATGATTAAGTCTTGTACATCATCTGGATCATCACATCCTTCTTCACCTTCATCGGGAGGCTCTGAGGGCTGATACTCATCGTCATCAACCACGTCCAGGCTTCCAGCATTGTCCTCACCTGGAGCTCCAACAACTTGGACATGAGGAACCACACTGCTTGATCCTTCAAGCTGCTCTGAGTCACCAAACAACTCACGCAAGTCCTTCTCCTGCTGCTCCGATAAAACCAGCTCCTTGCGGTTCTCCTCTTTGTTCTCTGCGTCGTCCATTCCCTTTGGTATTGCACCTACTCCATCGCCCACTGGTGGAGGATGCCCTGCATACTGCTCAATGAATAACCTGGGGACGACGTACTTCGCGACAAGCAAGTATCGTAGATTCTTTCCCATCGCTCCTTTCGAACCGGAATCAAGTCCTGGACTTAAAGGTCCGGCCACATCCGCAGTCAACACGTAAGCCTCCGGATGGTGCACCCGTCGGTGCTGTCGTCCGACTCCTCGGGACATGACGCAGGTTGCGCAATCCTTCCGGTAAGTAGCATGGTTGTCTCTAACATGCTGCCTCCAACCAATCCCAGAGCCCATACATGATCTTGGTCGCTACGAAGTGGAGCAGGATCATCCTCTGGTAGTCGAACTTCATCCAGGGACATCAGGGCATTCACATTGGTGCCTATTGTGGTTCTATTCCTTGAAGGACCGCCCATTGCACCCTGATCAAACGAGATGGTCCTAAGCGCTCCTTCTCGCTGAAACGCCTTCCGCATCCTCGTGTCCCAGAAACTAACCCCAGCATTCACTGTGGCATGACCAGCGTAGGCCTCCCACCGAGGTCGCTGAACCTGATCCCAGTAGCGTCGGGTTTCTTCCCATGAGGCAACCGTAGGACTCATCCCTGGTTCTTGCACCTCCTCCTCGGCCTGTCGCACTCGTTGCTCATGGTCACGACGCACGGCTGCAGGGATACCCTCCGGGTACTCAATCATGAAGCCCACATC